CTGCTCTTTCACTCACCCACCCAAGGGGTTTCAACCCCTTCTCTTTCACTCACCCACCCAAGGGATTTCAGCCCCTTCTCTTTCACTCACCCACCCAAGGCGTCTCAGCCCCTTCTCTCTCACTCACCCTCCCAAGGGGTTTCAGCCCCTTCTCTCTCACTCACCCTCCCAAGGGGCTTCAGCCCCTTCTCTTTCAATCACCCACCCAAGGGGTTTCAACCCCTTCTCTTTCACTCACCAACCCAAGGGGTTTCAGCCCCTTCTCTCTCACTCACCCACCCAAGGGGTTTCAACCCCTTCTCTTGCACTCACCCACCCAAGGGGTTTCAACCCCTTCTCTTTCACTCACCAACCCAAGGGGTTTCAGCCCCTTCTCTCTCACTCACCCGCCCAAGGGGTTTCAGCCCCTTCTCTTTCACTCACCCACCCAAGGGGTTTCAGCCCCTTCTCTCTCACTCACCCTTCAAAGGGGCTTCAGCCCCTCCTCACCTTCACTTGCCAGCAATAGGAGCAGCAGACAGCCCACTTCCTTGGGAAACAGAACCCTCAGGGGCTGCGCCTTGTGGGGCGAGGAGTGGTAGTGAAAAATCGCTTCCAGCCCAAGACTCAAATCCCACCCTTGACGTAGCCAGAGCTGACGCGAACCAGAGCCGCCGGCCGGTCGGCTCTGACGGTGTCCATTAGGCCTTGAACGTCAGATCGGGAACCGGAGCACCGAGTGCCGTGCCGCGTAAGATCCACCCACCACACCCCGCCCACAAGACACAACCCCAGAGGATGCTGCACCTAAAGGAGTGACCTGACTGCATGCTCCCATGCTCCCCCCCACCCACCTCCCCCCACACATTACCCCCATGCCTCTTACCTATACCTACCACAGCAGAGCGCCATGTTGGTTGAGGCTGCTGGGAAGTGGGGAAGGAGAGGGGGGGGGGGGGATTAGGGGAGGGCGGGACTCCCCTGTGGTCCAGGCAGGGTGCTGCTGGGAGGGAATGGAACAAAGGGAGAGGAGGAGGTGAGTGAGAGGGTGGACTCCACTCTCCTGCCCTTGCTCCAGTGCTCCCACACTCAGCCTGCAGGGGAGATGGGGGGGAGAGAGAGGATCAGATCACCATACCTCACCTGTTACCATACCATACCACACCTGTACCATACCCCACCTCACCCACAGCTACACCTAGCCTAGCCTGCCCCCTAGCCCCCCAGCCCCCACTGCTGCTACTGCTGCTGCCGCCGCCGCTTCTGCTGCAACTGCTGCTGTCGATCTGCTACTCTGCTTCCTCTGCTGCAATCTTCTCTTGATACCAGATGACCTGGTAGCGGGCAGAAACGGGGGGAAAGAGAAAGGAGAGGGGGCAGGAGGAACAGGTGAGTTGGCATGAACAGAAGAACACTTGAATGGACAAAACAGGAAATGCAGAATTGAAGAAAAAGCTGCTGCAGCGAGTGAACTCGAGGGGGGGAGAGGTGAGGCCAGGGCGTGAGATGACATACTTGAGGAGCCAAGCCCACCCCCATACTCTCCCTGGCGACACCAGTCACAGTCCGCTGCAGTGCTGCCTCCTTCCCATCCCCGTGTGCCCTCTCTTGCAGGGCTGAGGTGAGGGGGAGGACCGGAGGAGAGGAGGGAGAGGGGAGGGTAATGAGCAAACACACGGGTAAGAACGGAGTGAGAGCAAAGCGCGCTGAAAGTGCAGCATGCGTGCATGAATGGACCGAGAAACTGCAGTGGTACACCCAAGAGACTCCATACCAGAACCAGTCTAAACCGATACCTGAGGCTATACCGAATACCTTAACCTGCTACCTTGGGGGAGGGAGGTCTCGTGGGTGTGGCACAGGGCAGTGGGGAAGGGATGTGATGCATGGTGCAAGCAAGGCATGAAAGCAGCACACGTGCAGAGAGAAGAGGCAGGGCGGGGGTACTTATCTATGATTCGGTTGGGTGGAGAGCAGCTGCTGCCTGTGCACTCCATGTCTCCCGCCACTGCCACTCCCGTGTGAGCGACCTGCATGGATGAGAGGGGGCAGAACGGAACAGAGGAAGCAAGGAGGAGGGGGAGGAGAGGAGGGGAGTGCAAAGGGGGATCAGAGGAGTGGGGAAGGGTGATTAGGGAAAAAGCAAAGACAATTGAGAGCAAAGAGAGCAGCAAGCGCAGAAATTATGCATGCATGAATTGACTGCTGCAGTGACACACCCAAGAGACCTCATACCAGCTGAACCAGACTATACCAAATACCTTAACCTGCTACCTTGGGGGAGGGAGGCCTCGTGGGTGTGGCAGGCACAGAGCAGTGGGGACGGGATGTGATACATGGTGCAAGCAAGGCATGAAAGCAGCAGACGTGCAGGGCTGGGAGAGAATAGGAAGGGCAGGGTGCTTATCTTTGATTCGGTTGGGTGGAGAGCAGCTGCTGCCTGTGCACTCCATGTCCCCTGCCACTACCACTCCCGTGTAAGCGACCTGCTGGGACAAGAGGGGTAAGACCGGGACAGAGAGCGGAAGGGAGGAGGGAGAGGAGAGGTCAAGGGTGTGAAGGGGGAGGGAAAGGGCAGTGAGGAAGGAAGCAAAGTAGAGCGAAGTGAGTGCGCCAGGGGCAGCACGTGCAAGAACGATGCGTGCATGATTGATGTGCTGCAGACTGCAGTGGAACACCCAAGAGAGCTCATACCAACTAACCAGACAATCCAAATACCTGGGGCTGTACCAAGAAGTTTTGCACCTGCTACTACCTTGGGGAAAGAGGTCTCTTGGGTGTGGCACAGTGCAGTAAAGAACGGATGTGATGCATGGTGCAAGTGAGACATGAAAGCAGCACGCGTGGGAGGGTTGGGAGAGGAGAGGCAGGGCGGGGTACTTATCTGTGGGTGGGTGGGGTGGGTGGAGAGCAGCTGGTCGACACACTCCAATACTCCACCATTGCTAATAGTAGCGCTGATGGTAGTGCTGCTGCCTCTCTGCCTCTCCCGCTGCCTCAGTCGTCCTTGCCTCCCCTCCCCGTGCTGCCATGTGAGCTGCAGGGAGGGAGGGGGGAGGCACATACGGAGCAAGTGAGTGCAGGGAAGCAAGGAGCAAGGAGGACAGATGCAAATGCAGCGAAAACAGAACGTGACGACGAGAAGAAGTGGCACTGGCACTGGCTGCAAGGGGGACACGCTCGAGGGTTTGTACCACGTGGTACCACACCTGGGGCTGTGAGTACCTGAGGCGACCTGCACCTGCTACCTTAGGCTGAACCTGCCACCTGTTACCTGGGGAGGTGGTTCATTCCCTGGGCGTGTCCCCTTGCAGCAAGAGCAGCCATGGGCGCATGAGATGAGAATGCATGGAGACAGCGTGCAGCAAGGAACGGCAGGAGGCGGAGGTGAGCACTTAGCTTCGCAGAGGGTTGGTGCAGAGAGAATTCGAGGCAGGTGGATTGAGTGGGCGGCACTCGCTGCTCCCCATGCGAAACCGAGGAGCCTCAGGAGCAGAGGAGCCGTGGGCGAGGTGGAGAGAAGAACCTGCCATGAGAAGGAGCAGTGAAGCAGAAGGAGAAGGAGGGCAGTGAGTGTAAGGCGAGGCAGCAGCAGAAATAATCCATGCAAGAAAACTTGACTGTGAAAGTGCATGTGAGCCCACCACAGCGCCACAAGAGTTGTGCAACTAGAAAACACCTGAGGGGGCACCTGCACCTGACCTGCACCACACCTGAACCTGAACCTTGACCTGAACCAGGGGGGGGGGGGCTCTTGTGGCGTGTGGAGGCAGGGGGTGATACTTGCAACCTTCCACAGCTTCCACAGGGGGTGATTCGAGGCGGCGCTTCTCCTCCCCTGCTGCTGAGCAACGAAACTGATCCTCTGCGCTCCTCCCCACGCCGGCCTTGGGAGCTCCGCAAGTGCCTTGGCGTTGCCGTGGGAAAACGAACCTGCAGGCAAAAGCAGGAGAGAAAGAGAGGGCGTTAGTGAGCGCACGGCACAAGGCACGACAGATGCAAAAGAATGCTGGAATAAGACGGGAAACGAGAGGTGAACCGACCACAGAACCACAGGAGCCAAGTACCAAAGAAAACACCTGAGGGAGCACCTGAACCAAAGAAAACACCTGAGGGGGCACCTGGACCTGGTTCAAACCTTGACCTGGACCAGGGGGGTGGCTCTTGTGGAGTGTGGCGGCAGGAGGTGATACTCTAACCTTCACCCTTCATCAGGAGGAGATAAGCTGCTGCTCCAAGGGCGCTGCTCCAATGGCGCTTGCAGTCAGCGCTGCAGCCTCTCTGCCTCTCCTGCTGCCTCAGTCGTCCATGCCTCCCCTCCCCATGCTGCCATGCGAGCTGCAGGGAGGGAGGGAGAGGCAGACACGGAGCAAGTGAGTGCAGGGAAGCAAGGTGCAGAAAAAACAGAACTTGGTGAAGAGAAGAAATTGTGAGAGCGCTGGCTGCAAGGGGGACAGCGAGGATGTGAACTGAACCACGTGGTACCACACCTGGGGCTGTGAGTACCTGAGGCGACCTGCACCTGCTACCTTAGGCTAAACCTGCCACCTGTTACCTGGGGAGGTGGTTCATTCCCTGGGCGTGTCCCCTTGCAGCAAGAGCAGCCATGGGCGCATGAGAATGCAAGACAGGAGGCGGAAGTGAGAACTTTGAAGGTAGAGGACTTAGCTTCGCAAGAGGTTGGTGCAGAGATGATCCGAGGCAGGCGGAGTGAGTGTGGCACTCGCTGCTCCCCGTGCAGAACAGAGGCGATTCAGGGGAGAGAGAACCTGCCAGGGAAACAAGAAGGAAGGCAGTGAGTAAGTGCAAGGCAAGGCAGCAGCAGGAATCAATCAACCATGTAACAACACGTGTATGTAAAAGTGCATGTGAGCCCAGCACAGCGCCACAAGAGCCATGCAGTAAGAACCTGACCTGAGGGGCCACCTGAACCTGACCTGAACCACACCTGAACCACCTGAACCTTGACCTGAACCAGGGGGGGGGGCTCGTGTGACGTGCAGAGTCAGGGGGTGATACTTTCAACCTTCCACGGCTTCCACAGCAGGTGAATCGAGGCTGCACTGCTCCTCTGCGCTCCTCCGCACGCCCGCCTTGGGAGCTCCGGTGAGCGTAAGCGCCTCGCCTTGGTGTTGCCGTGGGGAAAAGAACCTGCAGGCGAAGCAGGAGAGAGAGTGAGTGAGCGCATGGCACAAGGAAACGACAGATGATGCTAAAGCATGCTGGAACAATAAAATGAACCGACCACAGCAGCACAGGAGCACCAAAGAAAACACCTGAGGGGTCACCTGAACCAAAGAAAACACCTGAGGGGGAACCTGGACCTGATTCAAACCTGAACCTGGACCAGGGGGGAAGGTGGCTCCTGTGGAGTGTGGCGGCAAAAGGAGGTGATACTCTAACCTTCACCCTTCATCAAAAGGTGATGAGCTGCCTTGGCGCTCCTCCAACGGCGCTGCTCCAACCTCCTCCCTTGCATCAGTCGCCTGGCGCTGCTCCCTTGCTGCTTGCGCACCTGCTCCGGGAGAGGGAGGGGAGGGGAGAGGGGGGGCAGGGGTGCGCATGGAGGGGGAGTGAGGGGGAGGGAGGCAGCAGAGCAGCACGGAAGGGGATCATGCATGCATGCGAGGGGAGATGGAGGAAGAGTGGAAGAAGGGCCGCTGGTGGACGCACAGTCACAAGCCACACACCCACGGGCTAAGTTTACCTGCTGTAAGGGATTTACCTGAAGGCTTCACCTGGGGGGGGCTTTACCTGTAGTGAGGGGGGTCTGCGGGATGTACCCTGTGCTGCCACCAGTGGCCCCGTTTTGAGAGAAGCGGGACAAGGAAAGAGGGATCGGGCGTGCAAAGGAAATCGGCCCCTTGTGTACTTAGCTTCAAAGACGGCGCTTGGAGGGCGAGATGTTGGTGGTGGGTGCAGGAATGAGGTGGCGCCTGATATGTTGCCACGTATGTGTTGCCACGCGCGAGAGGATCATGCTGCTTGGCGCAAGAGGCCTTGGCGCTTTCCGTGGTCGCCCGCCGTGCTCTGCGAATCCTCCTGGATGGCGAGCAGGTGACAATCCGTCATGGTAATCTGCAAAAAGACAAGTGAAGCGAGTCAGATCAAGGACCAGAAAAAAACACGGCGAAAATGGACGAGACGGGAATGAAACGGAATCAAACGAAATGTTCGAGTACAGTAAAAAACGGCGGAATTGGAACAGTGAACAGGCACAGCGGAGATTGGTAAACGGATGTTCGTACCGGAAAGGTTGCTCGATTTCGAGACTGGCCACGCGCGCGCAAGCTGCTTGGACATCGCGCTTTGAGGGACGAACATGCTGCGGACTGCGAATCGTCGTGCTTCATTGCGAACAGGTAGCGATTCGTCATGGTGGGGCGAGTCATTGTAATCTGCAAAGAGCGAAACGAATCGAGTCAGCTCAGAGCGCAGAAACACGAATATCGGACACACAAGGCGGAAATTGACAAGCAGATAATACACGGCCGGAATGGGCTAGTACATATTTAAATCAGCGGAAACGAAACGGCGGGAATTGACGAGTAGAAAAAGAAACTTATGTTTGGAAATAGATGGTACCGGCAGGGTCGACGGAAACTGCTGCTCGATTTCGAAGCTGTACGCTACGAACGGCGGCGATCGCTTCTGACGGCGTAACTCGATCCTGTCGGCCGGAACTGCTGTTGCCAGCGAATATCGGTAATTCCGAAGGCGAAATTCGTTGTAGCCGAAAACGAGATCGTTGCTGCTTACAGCGGAAACCGCTTCTCACGACGCCACGACACAGAAAATAGTCGTCGCTTCCGATGCCGATTTTGACGGCGAATGTCCTTCCTGACGGCGAAACTGTAGCTAATGCAATACGACCTGCTAACTACGACATGGCTCCGCAGTTGGCGTTGAAAATCCAATACGAGGAGTTCGGCATTAGCTTAGCGAACTACGATGAATCGGCGGTAGAAGCTAACAGTGAAGGAAATGAAAGGAGCGAGGTGGAGGAAAATGGAGAAAGGAGGAGACGAGGAGAAATAGAGGGAAATGGGAATTGGATTGGCCTCGCTGGTTTCAGAAACTTGAAGTGGTTCAGCTCGGTTGAAACGTGTTACCAGTTTTTCCTGCGAGGATGGAGAATCTGAATGCTGTTGAGCTCGGTTCCAATGGTTCAGGAAAGGTTTTGGTGTTTTTTACGTGTGGTCCCTCCCTCCTCTCCACCGCAGAAGGCATCGGCTCAGCACGGACCAGCGGAATGCTGACCAATACTGAGGCTGGACTGTCGGCGGAAAATGAAGGCTCACCGACAAGGTTGGCGCAACGCGACTGGCCGCAAAATCACGTTCTTTGCGCCAAAAGCGGACCGAGCCCCAACGTTCACGACTTGCGACGTGATCGCAGTCGTGCATCCTGTTACTGCTGGCTGGTCTGCGTTTTCACGACAGTCGTGAACGTCGCCAGCTCCATCAAGCCGAACGGTTGGCTGGGAAACCGCAACACGGCGGAAACACTCCCCCAAAATGCCTGACACATCACAGGGAGCTGCGGCAAATGGGGAGGTTTTCTCGAGTGCTTCCGCGACGTTTGTCGGGACCTGCTTGAATCTTGGTTGGCTGGGTAATCCAACTGATCCAACGGCTCATTATTACTCGGACAGGATTTGCCAGAATTCTGGTGCTCGATCAAGTGACAATCAATCTCAGACTCCTCTTAGATACTGTAGAAGCTGAGACGTTTTCAAACAAAACGTTTTGACGCTTTGAGAGAATTCCTAAATGTTCCGACTTTGGAAATGCCAGACCTGAAGTGTGTTCAGCTCAGGCTTAGCGTGTGCGAACCTTGCAACTGTATTCTGACCTTTGTCAGGAACATGTACCACATCGGATTTTCTTAGGGTGCGTTCTTGACCGATTGTAAGGGAAATGCGGAATGTAGGATCTGCCACGAGGAGCGCTTTGATTTGAAAAGCTCCGCCTCAACTTTGACTACAATTGAGTGTCATGCCACTATACCATACCTCAATAAGAACTGATCAGATATAACGCAAACACCACTATTGCTGGCTGAACATCCGTGTATATATTACGAACAATGTCACTTCCCATCGGCCTGAGTTCAAACACACAATGCTCCTGGCTATCAAGTTCCAACACATTGCGCCTCGATTTTGCTGCCAATTTACGGCCAAGTTGTCAGAGGTGCCTCCACTTACACCAAGCCTCCCTCCCCACCAGCAGAAATCACTTTCCAAAAAACACACCACAACTCCTGTTTCGCTTCCCTAACTCTCACAGCTTCCCATTGTCGACCACAACTCCTGTCTCGCTTTCCTAACTCTCACAGCTTCCCGTTGTCGGCCAAGCTTTCCATTACCTAGTAGAGATTAATCCGCCTGGAGCGACGGTAACACGCAGGAATTTCGGTACGAGCTTATTCTCGCCTTATTTGGGCCAATCGACTCGTCTATTACGTTCCACCTTAAACATTAGCTAGCGTCGCGACTCGTCTGTTCTGGTTCGATCTTGAGCCATGATACAAGTGCAAGATGCGTTCTATTGGAGGATAGATTGCAGTCATACGTTGTGGCTCTTAAATGCAGGATGGATTAGCGACGTAGGATATAATATCGACCTTAGTACGCGGTCCAAAGGCGCAGGATAGATTAGCGACTTCCAGAAAGCATTACCGTGACGTACGACAAATCTGCAACTTTCAACATGTGGCCTTAAACCACCTGACGATTTCGACTGTCGTCGTCTTTCGCAGTCGTTTGCCGAGTTTGTCTGTAACGTATTACCTAGTCCGCAGCTCCCTAGTTCCCCTAGTCGACTAACTAAGCTAGCGTAGGTCCTGCGCTTAGCTTAGTTAGTCGACTAGGGGAACTAGGGAGCTGCGGACTAGGTAATACGTTACATTGTCTGCCCTTCGCCAAGTGTCGCTCAAGTTGGCAAAGTTCGATGCCGCCGTTCGCGGTTTTTCTCTGCTTGCTCCCGTCGTTCGCCAAGTTTCTCTTTCATTTGCCGGATCCTACTAGCGCTTGCCGACCTTCGGTGACGTTCACCAAGAATCGCTGCCTTTCGCACAGCTGCTGCCGTTCGCCGAGTATCGATGTCTTTCGCACAGCGACTGCCGTTTGCGTAGTGTCGCTGACTTTCGCATTCGCACAGCTGCTGCCGTTCGCGTAGTGTCGCTGCCTTTCCCACAGCTGCCGTTCGCGGAGTGTCGCTGCCTTTCGCACAGATGCTGCCGTTCGCTGAGTGTCGCTTCCTTTGGCACAGCTGCTTCCGTTCGCAGAGTACCGCTTTTACAGCTGCTGCCGTTCGCGTAGGGTCGCTGCCTTTCGCACAACTGCTTCCGTTCGCCGAGTGTCGCTACTTGTCGCACAGCTGCTGCCGTTCGCGGAGTTTCACTGCCTTTCGCACAGCTTCTGCTGTTCGCGGAGTGTCGATGTCTTCAGCACACTTGCTCCTGTTCGTTCGCGGGTTGTCCGCCGAATTTCTCTCCCGTTCACTACGTTTCACAGGTTTCGCTGACTTTCGCTGCCGTACGAGAGGTTTGCTTCGAGAAACGACGGCGAACGTCGTCGCTGCAGTAGCCGTCGAAGCCTACCTGCTGGTTCCGCCGAAGTGAAAGCGTGGCGCAGGAGCGGCAGCGCGGCGATCGGAACATGGTACGTGCCTGTTGATGCTCGCAGGGGGGAAGTGTAGTGAGTCCTAGAGCGTCGCCGCGCAGAGGCAAAAGTCGTGTCTCCTGTCCTTTCCTCCACCACTCGCCTCTTGCTGTTTTTAGCCCTCTCTTGTTGCATCGTTTCTGTGTGGCTGCCTCTCTCCCCATGCGCGTGTGTGCCTCAAGGCCTGCGAGGTGGACGGGAGTGGCAGCGAGTGGACGGGGAATGGGCGGGCTGCCGTGGCTGGCGCGCACGAGAGACGACCTTCCCAGCGAGGAGAAGTGAAAGCGTGGCGCAGAGCGGCGAACTGAACATGGTACGTGTCAGGGCATGCTTGCAGGGGGGACGTGTAGTGAGTCGCCGCGCAGAGGCAACAGTCGTGTATCTTGGCCTTGCTCCTGCCGCTCGCCTCCTCTCGTGCTGCTCCTAACCCTTCCTTTTCCTCCACCTTCTGTGTGCGTGTTTTCTCCCCGCATGCTTGTGTGTGCCTCACGGCCTCCGAGGTCGAGGGGAATGGCACTGTGTGGACGCGGAATGGTGCGGAGTGGACGCGGAATGGCGCGGAATGGCGCGGAATGGACCCGAAATGGCGCGGAGTGGACGCGGAATGGCGCGGAGTGGGCGCGGAATGGCGCGGAGTGGACGCGGAATGGCGCGGAATGGCGCGGAATGGAGGCGCGGAGTGGACGCGGAATGGCGCGGAGTGAGCGCGGAATGGCGCGGAGTGGACGCGGAATGGCGCGGAGTGGGCGCGGAATGGCGCGGAGTGGGCGCGGAATGGACGGGACTTGCGTTGCGGCCTCGCTTGAGATACGTCCTGGCCCAGAGCAGCACGCGTGAAGTGAAGGCAGGGCGCAGGAGTGGGAGAGCGGCGGACGGAGCGTGGTACGTGCCAGGGAGTGCTTGCAGGGGGGCCATGAATTGAGTCGTAGGGCGTCGCCGCGCAGAGGCAAGAG